CACGGGACGGGGTCGCGCCGCGGCGGCGCTGGCTCCGGGGCCCCTCTGCGGACGGTCCGGGACCGCGGAGGCTTTCGGGGAATGGACAGCATCCCCGCGTTTCCGGGGAAGGCGGGCTGGCGTCCGCGCCCTGCGCTCCCGCAGAGCCCGCCTCTGCGTCCCGAGGCACCCCGGGCCTCCGCCCCGGCGGGCGGGTGGGCTCCGGCGCGGCGGGCGTTTGAGTGCTCGGGTTCGGGGCTGCCCTCGGGCGGCCGCATGCGGACCCTCGCTTTCTGGCCCCGAGAGCGGCCGCTGGGACTCGGGTGAGAGGGGGATGACGGAGGAGGAGGACGGGGAGGCCTCTGCCGTGAAGTCCTCCGGGCTGGGGCCCGTGGCGCGGACGCCAGTGGGGTGTAAGGTCACGTCCAGCAGATAGAAGCGGCCCCAGGGCGTCGTGCGACCTGTGCCTCGGAGCCGCGAGTGGCGCTCGAGCCTCTTCGCCCACGCCCACTGGCTTTCCGAGAGGCTCTTGGCTTTCTGCACCTCCTGTTGCTATCGGTGCCTGGTCTTGTTTTCCTTCCAAGTGAAAACGTGCCCTCCCCGGCCGCTGAGTGGGAGTCAGTGTCTGCTGGGGTGTCTGGGATGCTCTCTTGCCTCGTTACGGGTGCACGTTGCCCGCCGTGTCGTGGCTGGAGATGTCGGCGGGCCCCTGGTTCTCTCTGCTTGTTTCAATGCTTTCAGGGCTGCAGACATTTTTAGTCGTTGCATTTTGTGGTTGACGTTTTGCAGGGCAGTGGGTAGCAAAGTGACTGCAAGAGTTGTGTTCATTGCCATCGGGAGTTTGAACGCCGGTCTCCCTCGACCCCTGCAGTTGGACCAGGACGGAGCTGGGCTGTCGCTTTCCCGGGTAGCTCCCACCTGTTCCGTGCAACAGGCTCCTTTGTTGTAAAAGCATTTTTAATTGGTAAATCCCCGCAACAGCACATTTCTCCCACCCTGGGAAGAAGAATTCCCGAGACCCGGAGCTTATTATTCTCGATGTCTGGTTTAAAATAAGCAGGCAGACTGGCGACAGTGGGCCACCATGGAGTTCCCCGCGCGAGCAGGCAGGCCCGCGCCTCTCCCGTCCCGGGGCCGATCTCGACTCCTGGGCCCTCCTCCGGCGCCCATTCTGGGGGCCGACGCTCGGGGCAGGTGCGCGG